TCAGTGCGGGAGAAGTCGTCGTGTCATGGTGTAATTTGTTGCGTAAAAAGCCGCATTTTGGCTTCCACTTTCTGCTGGTGCCAGAGCTTTAGTTGGCTAGTTGTCTTCTTTCCTGGTTGATGGTGAGAGGTCCAAAAAAAAAAAAACGAAGATTCTCAGTTATTCACACTTTTTGCACGCGCAATAAAAGGAAAAAGCAGTGCTACGCTTTCTCTCGGTCTCGGTATATTTATCTTGGAAGTTTAGCGCAATTATTTCATTTTTCTCTGATATTTTGACAAACTATTGCTTCCCGCAATCGCTAATGGCATTATCCGTGATTGTTTAAATATGTATACTAAAGTTTCATATTATGCTGTGTGATGTCAAATTTATCTGAACAGAATCAAAGTGGCGAGAGAAAAGATTCGTTCGAAGGGAATACAATTTTTTGGAATGCATTTTTTCCCCAGGGTTGATCCGCAAAACAGCAAAGCTGCTTGCCAAAATTTACTATTTTTACATTTCTTGAGTCGTGCAGAAATTACCTTCGTATTTTTTGGGGTTTTTTTCGTTGACTTGATTCGGAATAAGAAAGTTTTCCTGCAGGTACCTTTGTTTTTACTTTTGCTGGTATATTTGAGAAGTGCTTCAGTTCATTGGAAAATTTTCCAACTTTTTTCAAATATGTGCTGCTTATTTCCCCAGAAAAAAACCTGGATATGAATTAATAATCCTTTCATTTAAGAGAAAAATACTCGAAGAAGTATTCGCGTGGCTTTTTATATGTATAGTTTTATTTCGTTTTATGAACGTTGGCATTTCCGTGTTTGTTTTTTTTATGCAGGTGGATTTTTCCCTATGGAGTGTATAATTGTTCTTTTAATTGAGATCGGTGGATTCCAAATGCATAAATTATTTTTATGCACGAGGTGACCTTGTGGTTTCGCTATTTTGCGCAGATGTTGTTCTTGATACGTTTCGGGTTCTTGGTGGTGGAGTGTTTGGCGAAGTGGTGGTTTTGGCTTGCCAACTGGTCCAGACCCCGCGGAGAATTGCCTCCTGTTGACGACGAAGTCTTGCTGGACTCAGCCGTGACCTTAGCGAAAAAAATCCGCAGAAAACAGGTAATGAAAACTATCCATCAGTACTGTACAGTACTGCGAAATTTCATCTGTTTTCCCAAATTTTTAAAACTAGGGATCTTCTCTCGCATTTTTTTCGGAATTTTCTCATCAGCGCACGTACCAAATAATTCATTGTAATTGTCATAATTGGCAGGATAATGTAAAAAGGTACTGATTCATCCCTCACACATCATTCTTACAGTGACTGCTGGTGGAAAGGATAAATCCCGGCCTGTAATATCCCATTTCAAGCTAATTTCTATGTGATGTTGAAATGTCATTTCTAAAAACATTTTTGAAATGGCAGCACGGAATCGAGGGTTATTATTGCAAAGGTGGGAATGTTGCACGGGACATTAACTTCGAGGAAAATCGCCATTTTTCGGAAACAGCGCATTGGAGTTTGGTAAATGATGTAGAACAAATGATTTCATAGACAAATCCTGTAAAAATAAAAGATCGAATAAAAAAAATGGCGTTTGTTTGTGCAAGATTTTCTTCTTAGATGGAAATATAGAATAGTAAACAAATGGGTGTTATTTAAATTTTAGAACGAAATTCCTGTTATATATGAAGCAGGAAGCAAGTCACAATTCGATAGGAAACCTTGTGAAAGTTTTTTGCTCTGCGCATCCACCAGGTGAATGCTAGTGGCGACATCTTGGTCAAGTCACGTGGCCAACATTCAGAATAGAAATCGATTGAAGAACAACTTCATCCTCGGGAATCTAATTCAGTGTACTTAACATGGCATTCTGAAAGAACCAATCAAGTAGTAGAGCGTCCGCAGTGTGGACAAAAAAACCAAGAAAAAAATGAAAAAATGATTGCAGAAGTGGGATGCAAACCCATGCCTGCAGAACCAGACTGTGACCTGAACGCAGCGCCTTAGAGCTTAGACCACTCGGCCATCCTGACAACTTAATGTACTGGATGCATTTTTTAAATGTAAGAAACGAACAGTAAGCAAACAGGCCACAGACACACGTTACACAATGTCCTTATTATTCCCCCCCAGACCCCTGTAGGATCCTACTGGTCATTCCTCCCACTGCGGACATTAAAAACTTTTTACATGGACTGCACTTTCAATTTATTATGTCTGATTTGTTTGTTCAACAGTTCTCTTTTTTTATCCAGTGTTTTAATTTTTGTGCTTTATGACATTTGTCACACAGGTCATTGGTCTCTTCCAGACTTGATTTACTCAGTTGATGAGTTGAGTGGCAGCGTTTTGGTGGTTTTTGGTCAAAACATCTTTATGCAAAAAAAAACCTTGCCAGTGCCACAAGAAGGAAAATAACCCATTGTGGTCCGAAGAGTTAAGAGGTACCTTGAATTTACAGTATGTTCATATTTTCTTCAGATCACACATAAATTTCACAAAAAGGACAAAAAATAAGTATCAAAAATAAGTATAAGTATCAAGAGATAAGTTAACGCACATCATGTGTGTTAACTTATCTTTTGATGTCATTTTAAGAGTGATTTGAAGAAAATATGAACATACATTTGGTGTGAGGAAAAGAGGAACAGAGGATTTTTTCTTTGACCATACAAAAGGTGAAAGGTATACAACATTTCTAAGAGGTTTCACTAGTTTCAGATAGTTTGAGAGAAATGAAATACAATTTGAGCAGCCAGGCTGCGGCCAGGACTTATTGCCCTATTGTAAGTTGGTATATTATTCAGAACAAGATCAAGATATTATCAGAACAACTGAAGAGTTTTCACAAGTACAAAGCACAAGAATACCAATTTGGGATGTGATGATTTGATACACACAAGAGGTCTCTGGAGATCTGTACAGTTTGAGAGTTCAACGCAGAGTGATCAACTTGTGGTTTCTAGTTAACAACAATAACTTTCTGGATTAGAAATGAAGGCTGGATTTTGGCCACTTTCATTCTTCCCTTTTGTAGCAGTACGTATGGAAATGTCCTTGGGTGAGCCTGGGAACTGAACCTGGGTTTGGTTCTCAGCCTCTCAAAAAATGCATCCAGAGATTAGTTGTTAATTTTGTCTGGCGCCTTTAAATGTTAAGAATTATCTAGTGGTTTTGGATTTTTTCCTGACATTTGGGGCACCTCTTTTCCCTTATTGTGACCACAATGGGTTATTTTCCTTCTTGTGGCACTGTCAAGGTTTTTGGCATAAAGATGTTTTGACCGAAAACCACCAAAACGCTGCCTCTCAACTCATCAACTGAGTAAATCAAGTATAGGGACGAAACCAATTTTATTTTTCAGAATAATCCTGCATTTTTAATTTTAATCATGTGGTAGGAATGCAAAAAAGATTTTCCCTATTGAGGAATTTTTTCAATTCTTCAAGAAAACGTTGACTTCTGTGAGTAACAATAAGGAAATTTCTCACACTTTTAATATGCTGATCAGTATTTTTCCAAAAGATTTTGGTTCTGCTGCAGTAGTTGAATAGACAGTCTTGACCTTAAATAAGTGATAAATTGACCACATAGCATTCTTATTTATTATATCCACTGCACCCCATAATCCTTTGGTCATTCCATTTTTGGCTTATTACCGAACAGCTCAGATTCTAAGAAAAGTTTTCTGGGCATTAAAATGTATTGTTGTCTTTTTTTGTTCCAGCAATTGGAGACTAACAAAATTTGCCTAAAATGCATCAACTTGTTGATGAATCTGATTATTTCCGTTTCTCGCGCTATTTTAAATTTTCCAGCGCGTTTCCTTTTTCTAGTTTTTTTTTCTTATGCGTTCATGTATATATCCGATGAATCTAAGAATTTAGACTAAAATTACGGTAGAAAATTCTTTGCATACTGCAAAAAGCATGCATATAATTTGGCAGTTATGGAACATTTATCTTCAAGTTCTTTTCGCATTTCATCGCACAAGGCCAACTCATGTTTTCTTTCACTGTCTTTAAAAGTTCAAATTGAGTAATTTGTATGCAAACTTGAACAAAGACTTCTTGAGAAATATACAATTTCCCAAGTGGTTTTTCCACCCCAGCTTTCTCAATCCCAGATAGTAGATTAATACTTCATGGAAAGAAGCACAGCGAACAATTTCTCACACTTTTATATCATGTAGAAAAGCGTTTCCTTTGAAATAATTCTTACTAATAATTTTTACTAATAAGCATGTGTATAAAGTAACCAGTGAAATAAAATGGCAGGGTCTTCTTATACACTACTGTAAACTACTAATATTCTTTGACGATATGTCGATAAACAGTGAGTGATGTTTGATTTGTTTATCAGTCGGATTTTTCATTTTCTCCCACTGGATTTGAAGCAAAAATATTGGTTTTTTTTCTGATGATTTGCCATTCTAAGATATTAATCACAGTAATTCCTCAAATTTTATATGATATCCCTGTCTGATCAAAGAAAATATCCCCCTGATGCCCCATAAATGTTTGAAACACTATTCCTTTCATCTGTGCAGAATACCAAAATTGAAAGTCGTTCACAGTTAGGTACGACATCTACCTGCAGGAATGATAAGCTCTAAATAATTATGCCAGATAATAATTATAAATGATCAACCTACAAAAAGTAGGCCATATTTACTCAATTTGAGCCTTTAAAAAAGCCCTTGAGTGGAATTCTTTCAAAGTCAGCTTACAGAGATTCAACTGTGTGATCATATAAATGTTTAACTTCAGTGATTTTCGGTAATGTTACTAAAGTATAAATTTGTAACCGTGCGCAAAACTTAAGATATTTGACTTTCTGCCTCCAACTTTAATTTTATGATCATCCCCTTGATCGATGCTTTCTACACACGGACAACAGCTCGGTGACATGATTTTATTGATTATACCAAAAAATAATTTTAAATGAGTTTAACTACGCAAATCAGGCCATGCATCTTAGCTCAAGAACTACCTAAGATGGTATTTGGATTCCCTTCAAATTCAACCAAGCGAAGTTCAATTGTAATTTTGAATGAGGTTTGAATTCCCTTCAAATTCACCCTGCTGAAGTTCAATTGTAATTTTGAATGAGGTTTGGATTCCCTTCAAATTAAACCTGGTGAAGTTTAAATGTAATTCTGAATGAGGTTTGGATTCCCTTCAAATTCAACCAGGTGAAGTTCAACTGTAATTTTGAATGAGGTTTGCATTCCCTTCAAATTCAACCTGGTGAAATTCAACTGTAATAACTGTAATTTTGAATGAGGTTTGGATTCCCTTCAAATTCAACCTGGTGAAGTTCAACCGCAATTTTTTTAAAAAATCGAAAATAAAAGGTTTGATATCATGGATTTTTTCTGAACTGATGCTCGCGGAAATTCAGACCTCATTCAATTTTCTGAATCCAACTTCACATTGCTGATTATCCCCTTTATTTACTTATTTGTGCACATGCTGTGGACATCAGGTGACATGTGAGCGGGTTGTTCAAGCATGCATACGAAGAACCCAGCAAGTTGGCCCATTGCTGAACTGCGTGGCGGCGACGCGGTTCGAGGCGGCTGTGTCCGAGGCCCGGAAAGTGGACGCCTTTCTGGCCAGCACTCGGATTGGCGCCGATGACCTGGCTCGGGACATGCCCTTTCTCGGCGTGCCTTTCACCTGCAAGGAAAGTTTAGCTGTTGCAGGTACAGTGGCCTTTTTTTTTTCTTTTTGGAAAATCAAGAGGAATACTTGTTGAAAACATGGCAGAGAAATAGTTGAATATACTTTTTTGCACTTCATTTTTGCACACATGAAGTACAGCAAGACCCCAAGATGCGGGCGTAATTGGTGCATCAAGAGTGTCCGTAAGTCAAAATGTCCCTGAGTCAAGTCTCATTTTCCCTTAGACTTACATTATGTAATTTTCAATTGGTGTTTTATGGACAAAATACTCACCATAATCCCATGAAAACAAAAATGGTCTCCCAATTTAAACTGATTCAATCAATATATTCCAACACAATATTGAAATTTGGGGAATTGAATACTGATACCTCCGTACAGTGCATAGACATTTTGGCACTTTCTGTAAAAAATAACATTCAAGTGAAAAAGAGAGAAGGACGTCCCTCTATGCTGGAGGTAATTTTTCAAAATTAGCTAAATGAATGGTAAATTGGTGAGAAAAATGTCCAAGAACTTTTCTTACATAATTCAAGGGTTTGAAATATCTGTTTCTTGTAATTTGACCTGAAATGTATTTGCAATTTTATCACAAAATGTCCCTATGTTGAGTCAGTGTCCTCATGTTGGGCCTTTTTTTATTACTTTTTTGGGGAAAACAAGTGTCCCTATGTTGAATTGTCCGCATGTCAAGGCGTCCGCATGTTGGGGATCTCACTGAACGATTTTAGATGAGTGAAGAATTCAAGAATGAAGATGGCATACTTCCAAATATAGAAAAAAAGTTTTGGCTCTTCTGCAGGCATGGAACAATCTTGCGGATTTTTGCCAAGAAAGGGTTACATAGCAACTGAGGATTCCCCCGTTGTGAAAATGATGAAAGATGCCGGAGGAATTCTTATTGCTACTACCAATGTTCCCGAATTGGCTTTTTGGTGGGAAACCGTCAGTCGGCAGAGGGGGGTAACACTGAATCCCTATGACTTCAGGCGAACGCCAGGCGGCTCCAGTGGCGGCGAAGTAAGCGTGTCTTTTATTTCTTCTCAAACTAGATGTCGCTCAATCCCAGTTCTAACGTTCCCCTCCGATCAAGGCAGCACTCGTGGCATCAGCCGGTTCGCCAATTGGAATCGCTACTGATTTTTATGGGTCAATCAGGATCCCTGCGAATTTTTGCGGCATCTTTGGACACAAACCATCTGGAAGGATTGTGCCGAGTGGGGGTCATTTCCCCGACGGTGGGGAAAAGGTCGAGGGCACGTTTGTGGTCGGACCCGTCGCCAGAACTGCCGCTGATTGCGAGGCTGTCATGAACGTGCTCAGCAGACCTTCCACAAATAAACTTGTTCCAATGAAAGTAAGCAAATGTTTTCCCGATTCTAGGCTATTTGCGAAATAAAATCGAAAAGTTGATCAATAAATGATCAATTTCTTTCATGGCGGGAATTTCATCGGGCTACTTTCAGAGGATCGCAATTTCCTTGTGAAAATAAGTGATGTCAACGATTGTAAGACGATCAGTCTTTTTTTTTTTACATAAAAATACCAGAGTTTTTGCTGCGAATAAAGAACAGGCAAAAATGTATAACCTACGTCTGAGTCTGTAAATTGATTCAACTTGCAATTATCTTTTCAATTTCCTCAATCGCTTAGAATGATAATTCTGAAACATCCTTTTGAACTTGAAATATTATTTTCTGCAGTTTAAAACATGGGGCGATTTTTGTTTGAAAAATAATGTTGGCCGAAAGCCATTATTACTTTATCAGCATTCCGAAAAGCATTGCAATTTAATAACCTCTGTAGATGTTCATTAAATCATCAAGCCGATTTTCTTTCAGGCAAATTCTAATTTTTTAATGTGTCTGGTATCCAAGTGAATATACAGTCAACCCCTGTCTAATGGACTTGATTCGTCCAAGGGACAAGTCTGTTAGACAAAAAGTCCTTTACACGAATTCAATTACATAAAAAATTAAAAACTTCAATTTTCAACACTAATTTTAAACTTAAAGAAGTCTGTTTGGTGGATTTTGTCTGTTGGGTGGGAGGAAAAACTGCTTGCAGAGCTGGTCTGTTTGGCAAAAATCCCTTACACGGGAGGTCTGTTAGGCGGGGGCCACTGTACTAAATATATTATCAACTCGAAATGTATTGTGTTTAATGTTCACATCCTAGTGTGTTTATAATTTTTTTTAATACGAAATAGAAGACCTCTATTCAAATTATTATTATTTTTTACCTACGTTTCCTTCATTTTTTTACCTCCGCTGGGTAAAAATTTACTTTACAAAAATGTGTTCGATATTAAGGTGCATGAATACTACAGTATATTATAGTAATTCAATGATTAATATGTTCGATTTGTCAATCCTAGAGGTTTCTGAAAGGCTGTTTGATGAAGAACATCCTTCTTTAGGCCCATTTACCTTCATTCACTGCTTCAAAAATTAGTTGGATATTTCATTATATGGAGTAGAATACTGTAGTTTTAAACACGGTTATACAAGGACAGCACCGATTCGAGTGAATACGGTAGTACTGTATAGCTCAACATTTAATGTAATTTGTTCGAGAGATTTTTATAAGTATAGCTGATGAAAAATATACTCTTTTCTGACTCACTTTCTCTTTTAGGGTACGGGTTCTGATAACATTCGTTCATATTGAGTGGGTTTTTTTTTTCAACACGGGTCCAGCCCAGACCTCAATCAACTCATTATATTTGACATGGCTCCCGCATAATTTATTTTTTCTCGTGTAAAAAAAATAAACAGAAGCCACTGAAGAACCTGAAAGTTTTCTACATGCCCCATGACTGCGGCGGCCTTTTGACCTCGTTTGTGAATGACGAAGTCGAAGACATGCTCTTGACTCTAGTAGCCAGGCTCAATTGCGATGGAGCAACAGCCAAGAAGGTGCGTTTCAATCAAGTTTCTCCATTTTGTCCTTGTTTCTTTGTTCTGAATAATTGCGAGACATGACGAAGCAAATTCTGTTCTTATACTGTATACGTAAAGTATAGTTATTTATTTAATTTATTCTATTTTTTCCCTGTTGGCTTTGAGCAGGTGCGAATCCCGGAAGCCGGATGGGCATCATTGCTTTTCTTGTTCGAGTCCATAGAAAGGGGAGGAAGGGATTCCTTGAGATTGAGGATGAATTATCCGAACGTGAGTTTATTTCATCTGATGTAAGAAGTATTTTCAGAAGAAAAAAATTGCGCGTGATTTTTCGAAAATCGTTCATCATAAAATATTTTATGCTGACGTACACATAGAGAAAATTAGCCTCTCTGACTGTGATGAGGACAAGGAATTAAAATTTCTAACGAGGTGGATAAATACAATTACAGTACTGATGGAGATTTCACTCGTTGATTTTAAGCTATATCTCACATTATTTTCTCGTCGCTTTAAAGTTCGTCCAGCATTTCTGTGAAATTAAATTTGAACAGCAACGAAGTCTGACAGTATTCTTAGAGAAACTCATATGTTTGTTTGCAATACGCAATCGTTGAGACTGATTTTAATTTTCAAAAAGTAGGTAATTTTTTTTATTGCGCTCCTCGTATGAAAACTTTTTGATTGCTTGATGGAGTAATGAATGAAAGGATGGGGATCGAGCGACATCTACTCTCGAAAGCGATAAAAACTGCTCAACAGTTGGAAATACTGTAGACTGTGGAGTACCTCAAATCCAAGTCCGGGCGTTTCAAGCAATTTCCGTGTATTGTCTAAATTTTGTTTTTGGAATAAAATGCGATTGTTATAGGAATGTCTCAAATCCAAGTCCGGGCGTTTCAAGCAATTTCCGTGTATTGTCTAAATTTTGTTTTTGGAATAAAATGCGATTGTTCTAGGAATGTCTCGGAGACGCAAAAGTTTTGAAAAAGCTGTAGAACGAGTGGTTGACTGCCTCTGGAAGCATTATATATACTTGATGATTCAGGATTCCAAGGAACAAAACGCAATTGATCATGTGGTTTTTTAGCTCAGGAAAGTAATGTACAGTGGAAGTACTTATTTTATCGTTTGCTGATTTCTCCCCCCAAAACAGAAAGGTCCCTTGAACCCATTCAAGGAATTATTTTGGTATGTCATGGGCAAATCCATCCATGTCTGGCCACTGGTGCTTTCTGCACTGGTGGAATATTTTGCGACAGCTTTATTGCGAACTCCGGTCCGAGGACTGGTTTTCCGGCGACTTGCCTCCGTGAGGCAAAAATTCCGGGTAAGAATTTAAATATTTAGTTTTTAATTCCTAAATTTGCTGAAACCCAGTTTAAATGGTATTCTCTAAATTTATAAAATTAAAATGGCGAACAAAATGCTGCGGAATGCGCCTCAGAATGACTGATTTAAAAATTATGACATTCGCAAAATTAAATGAGTATTAATTTCGAAGGAATTTTTTCGAGATCTAATTAGTATTTGCCTTAACTCATTCTTTTTAAAAAATGCTCGAGACTGGTTTTCAGATACTGTATATGAAAAAATGTCCGCCTTTTTTTTTGCTGTGTGTGCATGAATTTTTTTGTCGAACTAAAATTATTTTCTGCGCATTCCAGAATTCCAGGTATAAAAATAAAGGGATTCAGAATTGAATTTCGAATCTATTTTCGTTGACAATTTACTGTAATTTTTGGTGAAATTCGGAGAGAGTTTCAAAATAACACTGGTTGTCTGATGGTGTATAAAAATGAGGCGTTAAAGGAAAAGGTCAATTTTGTTTTTTTTTTCTTCTTTTGACTCACATCGGCTATTGAAAAATATTGAAATCCACTACTGTATATGAAAATTGTACGTGTATATTTCGCGCGTGTCATGTTCCAGGATTTGTTGGATACTGACGAGAACACAGTGTTTTTGTATCCAACCATGCCACACACGGCTTTATTCCACGGGCAACCCTGCGTTGTTCCTTTCAACGCGTCGTACACTGCTTTACTCAGCATTTTGCAGTTGCCCGTGACCCAAGTGCATCTTGGAATGTCCAGCGATGGATTGCCCATCGGAGCCCAGGTCAGTTCCATCGAAGAAATAAAATTCTCGATTCGTAATCGAGGTATAACCTGGCGAATTTTCGGCACGGAATTCTTGAAGATACCTGCGCTGATGAATAAGTTGCCACCGTTATGAGAACTGCAATGCAAGTGTACCCCTTACTGGAAAGGAACAACTCATATGTGATGAGTTTCTTTGTTTCTCTCTTAGATGTCACTCTAATAGTAGATGAATGAACAGTAAGCTTCATTTTCCACTTTTCAGCATTCACAAGGTTCAATCAACAGTCCCTCATCCAAACCCCCGCCCCACCCAACCCAAATCTATTCAAAGGCATTTAATCACTTTAGAATGGGAACAGAGAAAATAGCTGCAAACGGATAACATATATTTGTTACCAATGTCTCAGGGAATGAATGGGTGTATGCATACATGTTAGATGTCCAGTTGTATTTCATGTTGTACTGTATTGTATTTTCTTTTATTTTTGTTATCAATTTGTACTTTCCTCCTCTGAAGTGATTAAAATGTGATTGAGTGGATTTGGGTTGGGTGAGAAGGGGGTTTGGTTCTGGAAATCTTGATTGAACCTTGTGAACGCTGAAAAGCAGCAAATAAAGTGTTCTGTTCATTCATTCATGAATAACAAAAATAAAAGAAAATGCTTTCCACAAAATTCAACTGCACAACTGATGTGTATGTGTACACCCCTTCTTTCCCTGAGATTGAAAACAAAATATCAGTAACAAGAATTGCTGCATAAGCCAGAATTAAAGCAATTGCCACAGTTAATGAACCCAATTTAAAGCCCAAGGTCTTCAGTCTGTTCCTACATAAGGTTTATTTGAATGAAAAATTTAGAGAGAATCTTTGATGAGAAATAATATAAGGTGACAGTTTATCTTGATCCTCTTAAGATTTCAGGAAGGGTTTCTGCATTGATTTCCAATACTTTTAAATTTTTCTTAAGCTTCATTTATATCAGTAAGGAATGCTGGGCATAATGAATAGTAAGATTTGCTTGCAAAACACTGAGGTTATATCCATGTACAATAAACCAATTTTCAAAGTACAGTAGTTAAGTTTCCCTGATATAAAGGCTTGAATAAAAATAAACCAGTTTTGTCATTGAATTCAAAAAAATTTCCCTTTGCATGAAAGGTAAAAATCATGAATGCTTTCAGAATGTAAAAACTGCAGCAGCTTTTCACGAATTTTTTGCTCTATACGTTGTATGAAAATAAATGATGAATGAACTGGCATCATGTTGAATATTGTAGTTGGCTCTCACTGAAAAATACTCTTTTAATTCTTCTATCCAACATTCGTCGGTCTTTCAAATGCTACTCTTCTGAACTTTTATAAATTAATCTCCGTTTTTATAGGTTGTTGGTGGACCAGGAAAGGACTGGTTGACACTTGCAGTCGCAGAGGAAATTGAAAATAAATTCGGCGGATGGAAGCCACCATTTCCTGTTCTTCATGAAAACACCGAAATCCGGG